AAGATTTGGGGTGTCTTTTCCTTCTATTATTTTTTCATATAGATCATATCAAAATATCTAGTTCTCTCACTTTATTCAGTTCTCTTCAATAGGAAAAAGAAAATAAACTTTGCCTTAAAAAATGATTACAACACAAATACAAAATAATGATAACCCCAAATGCTATTTGTAATAATACGTGGAAGGAAGGGTAAGGCCAAGTGCGGGCACAAAGGAGGGGTGAGGCTTTGCCTGGGAATACTGGTGAGAGGCAAGATGGGCACTGCAGGCAGAGGAATGCACAAGCCCGAGGTGCTGAGTAAACTGCCAACAGCTCTGACTGCAGAGCGGGAAGGAGAGCACAGTGGAAGATCAGGTAGGACAGGTGGAAGCCCCACCTGAAAGGGTTTACGTCATAAATACAAGAGGTTGACCTTTAACCGGGAGCAACTCTTGGCAGGAAAGAGCGTATGGGTATTTCACAAGGATTTTCCTGCCACAGTGTGAGGACGGACAGGGGACCAAAGGCAGTGGGAGGAGTTAGCTCTATTGCAATTGTCCAGGTAAGAGGTCTGAACCTAACGCCACAGATAACTTGAGGAGTTTATGAGCCCAGGGGAATGAGTTAGAGGAAAGAAGGAGGCTGACTCCCAGTGTTGACTGAGCCTCTTTCTACTAGTATTTCCTTGGTTTTTTAAATGAGAGCTAACATGCATACAGAAAGCCATGGATATAAATGCATGGTGTGTGCAGCTCCATGGATTATCACAAAGGGAACCCACTCATGTAATCACCATGCAATGGATCATAGCTTGGACTAGTGGCGCCTCAAAGAAAGGCCCACTTGCTTGGGTCAAAAACCTAGAAGTCATCTTCTTTTCTACCCCTTGTGGCACACATCTAAGCCATCGGCAAGTCCTATCAGCTCTGCCTTCAAAATATATCCAGAATTCAACCTGTTCTCACCACCTCCATTGCCACTACCCTACTGCGAGCCACCATCATTTCCAGCCAGGACCATTGCCATAGCTTCCTGCCTGTTCTCTCTTCCTCCACTGCTGCTCCCCACAGTCTATCATCCACACAGCTACTGGAGTGGTCCTTTAATCACGGGGGTCACATCACGTTACTCCCTGTGTCAGATCATCCTTTGTGACCCTAATTCTTCACCCCTCTCTACACTGGTGCCCTTTGCCAAGTAACTTGGGAGTGAACTGCCTCACCCCCTTTAATTCTGGGCTCAGCTTTGCGTTTTGCATAGTAGATATGACATACGTAGATGCTTCAACTGGGGTCAGGCATCAAGGTTTTTTCTTTTGCAAAATTGTGCCAAAGTCCATGCTTCTCCCAACTTGGGTCTGAATTTAAGTCTCACAAGATGCATCGGATTGTGAAAACCTAAATCACATCCACAACTCTAGCTATTAGGGTATCTATGATTAGTAGCCTCTGCAATACAGGAAGGAGCACAAAAATCAGATTACTATCAACGGGGAAGGATCACTTCATGGTATCACCATATCACACTGCTCCAACGTGCCTTTCCAGATTGCCTTGCAGAGTCTTGCCCCTGTACTTGCCCATCACCCCAGTCTCCCCTGCTTTACACTCTGGCTAAGTGTCCCGGTCAGAACCCCACCTTTCCCTTATGCCCTGCTCTACTTACACTGGCCCATGTTGGTCTCTGTCCCACCCTACAGAGTAAGTTTTAGCAATCTCTCCTCAGCTGGCATCAGATAAAAGGGAATCTCTGGTCTCTCTCACTATGCACCTGTCCCCCTTCCTTCCCACTTCATTCTGGACTTTATTCAACTGCCCATTCCATCTTTGCCTTGTCCTGGAAACTGACCACTCAGCATCATCTTTTTGGCTAACTTTGAATCCCCAGAGTCATAGTTCAGATCAAAACAATCTCTTTCTCCTGATTTTTTTTCTCCCTGTATCACTTATTTGGAAACAGGACCAACTTATCCACGAGATACTGCATAGTATCTATAGGCCAACAAAAATGGTTTAATGTTACTTTCTTTTAAAATTGGAAGGGGCAACTGGGTAGTTCAGTCAGTTAAGCATCTGCCTTCGGCTCAGGTCATGATCTCTGGGTCCTGGGACCGAGGCCTGAGTCAGGCTCCCTGCTCAGCACAGAGTGTGCTTCTGTCTCTCTCTCCCCCTCTGCCCCTCCCCCCGGCTCATTCTCTCTCCCTCTCTCTCAAATAAATAAAATCTTTAAAAATAAATAAAATTAGAAGAAAAAAGAAAATAATAATGAAGATGCAATAATCCAACCTATATTATATTCATCTTTGTACCTTTTATTTGTAAAATTTCATATATATTTTTTATTTCATTTCATTTTATTTACTTTTAAATGAAGGAATGGATCCACAAAGGTGAAAGCTGCTAAGGCCAGCAAAAGTTATGATACGATCCTAGCTGCTTTTGAGTATGTTGCTGTCTTTTGTGGCTATATGTGTGCTTCAACTTAACTATAAACTCCTTCAAATTATGTATGATCTTTTTTACATATTTGTTTTCCCTAGAGAAACTCTTTATTAGAAACCTGTTTGGGGCACCTGGGTGGCTCAGTCGGTTAAGTAGCTGGCTCTTGATTTCCACTCTGGTCATGATCTCAGAGTCTTGGGATTGAGCCCCTCAGGCTCAGCAGGGAGTTTGCTTCGGGATTCTCCCTCCCCCTCCCTCTGCTTCGCTTTTCCTCTCCTCCACCCCCCCACCCCCCACCCCCACCCCCACCCCCGCCGCTGGCGCACACGATCCTGTGCATGCTCTCACTTGGCTCACACTCTCTCTCTCTTCCTCCCTCTAAAATAAATAAATCTTTAAAAGAAAAAAGAACTTTGTTTTAACTGGCTGACCAAGTGTAACATGCTCCGCACAATACAGAGAGCTCAGTAGTTGCATTTTTCTTTCTCCATTCTAGGGTCAAAGCCACAGATGGTAGACTAAGTGAGGCCCACAGTTTCTTAATCTACATGAAGACAGTAGTTTGAGCCACTGTCTTTCAATCTATTGTCTTTCTTTTTTTTTGTTTTGTTTTTCTAAAGATTTTATTTATTTATTTGACACAGAGAGAGAGAAGGAGAGAGAGCAAGCACAAGCAGGGGGAGTGGCCGGCAGAGGGAGAGGGAGAAGCAGGCTCCCCCCAAAGCAAGGAGCCCAGTGCAGGCTCCATCCCAGGATGCTGGGATCATGACCTGAGCCGAAGGCCGATGTTTAACCGGCCAAGCCACCCAGGTGCCCCTAACCATCTTTCAAACACTCTTGTGATTGAAAGTTCACAGTCAGGTAAGCATTCTCACATTATTAGAGGCAAATGAGAGGAAGCAGTAGGTTTTGCTCATTTGCTTTCACATTTGTTCATATAGTGGAATCCTGGCTCCTTTTCTCTTACTAGTTATGTGCCCTTGGCAAGTAATCTAAACTCTCTTTGCCTCAGCTTTCTGTTCTAGAAACTGGAGAATAACTATTTGCTTCAGAGAGCCATGATGAAGAATAAATGAGATCATCTACATCAAGACCTACAATGGTGCCTGATAGGCCCTCTAGAAATGGTAGCTGTCAATTAATTGGACAAAAATTTGAGTGCCAAAATATTTATTCAATTGATGCCTATCAGTGGAATGAACCAATAGTGATCAAACATCCAAGGGCCTTGTCTCTGGGTTCTGTTTCTCCCCAGCTCTCCTCTGGTGAACACATAGGCTGCTGAAACCTTAGGTCCTCCTCACCCAGCTATGTAAATCAAGTACATTTGTCTTCACTGGCCTTTGGTTGGAATGTAGGCACCTTGAAAGTATCTTACCCTGCCCAGTGTTGGCTGACCAAGGAGAGAATTTCTCAGCATCCCTATGGGGTTACAAAAGAAGCATCCCTGATGGTTGGGGGATGACTGCAAAGGCCCCCCTCTGGTCTTCCCAGCCCCACTTCTGCCTCCACTTACATTTTCCACAGAGCAGCAGACCAATCTTTTTGAAGCTGTGCATTAAATCACATCACTTCCCTGATTATCCCTTTAAAGGCATCTCTTTGAGCTTAAAGTACAAACTCAATGGCTTGGCAAGCCCTCCTCCCCAAGTCATCATTCCCATTCTCCCTCCAACTCCACACTCTAGACTTGACCTTAGTTTTTTAGTTCCTAAAGCAGTTCCTACCTACCTCCCCTTTGGAGTTCCCTCTGCCAGGAGCCATTTTCTCTTTTCTCTTCATTGGCTAAATCCCACCCTACCACTGGGAAACGACTCTGACCCCTAGAGCAGATTAGATCCCCTGGCTTTGCTCTCCTGTAGCACCTAGGGTCTCCCCAACCAGCACTGGAGTCTATTGTGATTCTCTGTTTAATGCCTGCCTTTCCCAATAGAGTGTAAGCTTTTCTTTTCTTTTTTCTTTTTCTTTTTTAGATTTTATTTATTAGTCAGAAAGAGCCCATGTGTGCGCACAAGCAGGGGGAGTGGCAGGCAGAGGGAGAAGCAGGACCCTGGGATCATGACGTGAGCTGAAGACAGACACTTAACCAACTGAGCTACCCAGGTATCCATAAGCTTTTTTTTTTAATATTTTACTTTTTTTAGGTCATCTCTACACCCAACAAGGGGCTCGAACTCACAACTCCAAGATCAAGAGTCACATGCTCCACCAACTGAGCCACTGCTCAGAGTGTAAGCTTTATGGGGCCACTGTTATACCTGTCTTGTTCATGACTGTATTCTCAGCACCTAACCCTGTGCTTGGTTCATACTATCTCTCAAGACAGATTTGTTGACTGAAAGAATGAATTTATAAATTAAAGAATAAAGTCCCAAGGGAGCAAAACAAAAATGAATCTCAATGCCAAGAATCAGCCTGCATCCATTAAAGTGACATAAGGTTGGGGCCAGAGAATAAGAGGGGTGTATGGGTAACCCCTCTATACCTCAGTTTCCTCATCTGTAAATGGGGGATACTAAAAAGCCTATCATATGGGGTTGTGAGGATTAAGTGAGTTAACAGAAATAAAGCAGGCATTGTACGTGATTATTATTTTTTATTGTTCACAAGGGGCATTTTTCCTGGGCAGTGTGCCTCATTCCACACAGTGAATGCAGAGGCAGTTTATTGAAACAAGCCTGCACAGGAAGGGATGTTTGTGGGCTGGCGATGTCCAGTGCCCCATCCTAGAAGGGCATACAGCAAGAATGGCTGAGGCTGCTACTCCCTGGAGTGTCCTGTTATCTACAACATAGTACAAAGTAGAAAGTTAGGACCCTGCTCTGTAGAAATGCATATAACCCACTGCTACATTTTCAGCCCATCTGGAGAACTGGGACCAATGAGTATTCCATCTTTATCCTCTCTAGTCCCCAAGAATAACACATCAAAGAGCATGTTTGCATCCCTGCAACAGATAACAGCACTGCCATAAGCTTCAGGGTCCACACATGCTACAGATAGAATGAATTAATAAGTTCACATATTTATAAAATATGAATTACCCTAAGAAATACATAACTCCAAGTAAAATTTCTGCTTTTTAAAACTGAGCAGAGATAGACACTTTGAAAAATGAAAGGCTAGTACATTTTCATTATATAGTATCACCAAATTGGCATTTAACCCAAGAAACACATCACCCAGATATACAGATATTGACACAACAGAAGCCTCAGGTTATTTTAGGGGTGTGGGGCAGGGGGAATCCGGACAACTGACTTTTTAAATTATATTTGATTATTTGGCTTTTTTTTTTGCAACAATAGAAAAGCAAGTAATATGATCAATAAGAATTCTAGAGGCTCTAGTGCATTTATATAAGCACAGTAAATTACTCATAAAGACCACGGAGTATTTACCTTTGTCTTGTGTATGATATGCCATGTCTGTGTGGAACCTGGTTCGCTTTGATGATACAGAGCTATTCTCTCTGAAACCCTGCCTTCTCTAGCTCGGCTCTGTGTTGGGAGCTTCCCTTAATAGCCGAACTGGTTTTCCTGGAAAGAAGAAAAAGAAAGCAGTGTGAGAAATGTATGTGTTACACTTCTTCCTTTTCCATAATACTGTGGTGATCATTTACATTCATATTCAAAGGTGTAAAGATCCATACATCAGCTTTGTAAACAAGTGGTAAAAACGTAAAGCAGTATCCTATATTAACAATACCGGAGCAAAGAAAAAAATTGCCAGTCTACTCTACAAGGACGTAATATAATAAAAATCAACCTTCTTTCTCCTCATGTCCTTGATCCTGAAACAGTACCCTGTATCTGCAAGAATGTTGTAAGCATGTGGATTATTTATTAATGGGTTTGGGGATATTTTGTTGCTAAATAGGCTTGAGGGGGGCTATGTATTAGCTATGAGATATTTCCAAACATTATTATGGACACACTATTAGAAAAGAGAGCAACTTTGTAGCTTAATGTTCTACTTCCTTCTAAAGAATTTTCCAATCAGAACCTGAAATAATACTATATTATTATATATAATACATACATATAAATATAAAGTATATATAAATATACACACACGCACGCACACACACACACACACACACACACACATGCACAGAAGATCTATGACCACAATAGAAAAAAATAAGATTTTAAAAAGAAGAAAGTATTAGCATCACCTCCAGGTAAAGAAATATGTGAGCTGAGATGGAAGGCCTTCATATGTAAAGCCAAGAATACTTATTTCCATATTGCAAAATGTGTTGAGTTTTGCAGAGATAATAGCATTGGCTGAAAAATGTTAATTTCAATAAATCTCCCAGAAACTCCCTGAGCTGAAATTTCTCCCTCTAGTTCGGGATGGTCTGTAGAGCAGACCAAGGAGCTGGCTCCTACCTTCCTCTCCTGTTCTCTAGCCTTTTCTGAATGCTCCCAGGTAAACTAGAAAATTTCCTTTTGGCATCCAGAAGGACCCAATGTTACCCTTAGTGGAAACTCCTTAAGGACCCCTGCGGGCAGCCACAGCCTCGAACAACCAGCCAGAGATCCACCCAGAATCAGGTTTGAGAGCTCCGTCACAACTGGGGCCACCCAGTCTCTTGGCAAGGCCCACCTGGGCAGACACTCAAGCGATGCACCCCCACACAGAGCCACCAAGAGAAGGGAAGAGGTTCTTCCTGCTCCACACTCCTCTACCATTCACATGGATCTGAGCCAATTCCATTCTTCCCACTAGCACTCTTGGGGAAAACATGTTGAGAACAGAATAAAACAGCAGCGCATACAAAGAGGACAGACTGAAACAGTGTGTGGTATTGGTACTTGCCAGAACCCTTATTACTGAAACTTCTTCCCTTTCCTGTTCCTTCACAGCATAAAGAATTACATTGCTGAATTCCAAGCTGTGATCCTGAAGGATATGTTGCATATAAAGCTTATATGAAAACAGGGAGGAAGGGAGATGGCCAATGTATAAAAACTACCTTGAAAAAATAAATAAAAACTCCCTTTTTTAGAAATTTGTATTGTACTAAGGGCTCTGCGTGCATTATCTCTAGAAGTTTCTATGATCATTCCATTCTACAGAGGATGAAACTGAAGCTCAGTGACATTAAGTAACTTGCCCAAGATTACATAGCTGGTAATACCTGAGTTAGGTTTGAACCCAGATTTTTAAGACCCCATGCTTTTAATCACTAAACCAAACCATACTGCTTATCTTTACAGATTAGGCAAATGTGGACAGTATGAAAAAGAACCCATTTATTGATTTAACAAGCAAGACTTTTTATTAAAATACATGACAAGCTTATCAATAGTGTTTGAAGGAAAACATTACGAAGGCATAAAGAAATGTTAGTTTTTTATATTGTACACACACACAAACATATACACTGTGGTTAAATTAATGGAACAGTGCAAATACAGGAAGGCAGAAAGGGGAGAAAGGCTATATCATGTGATCAAATGATCTGATTCTGTGGTCATTAGGGTTTTCCTCCAGTCATATGACAAGAACCTACATGGTTAATACCAGGGGCTACAAAGAGCAAGGTTGCTGCCTCCTTCTGTGGGTTAGTCAAAGAAAAATACTAAGTGCAGTATAGTTTCCTGACGGGATCCTGGAACAGAAAAATGACACGAATGGGAAAGCTAGTGGGATCTGAGTTTAGTTAGAAGTAATGTACCAGTGTCAATTCCTTGGTTTTGACAAATGCCCCATGGTTATTTAAAATATTAACATTAGGACAAACCGGGTGAAGGGAACACAAGAACATCATACTATCTTTGGAATGCTTCTGTTAATCTAAAATTACTTCAAAATAAAAAAATTGTTTAAAAAGCTAAGTAAAATTTAAATGTAAAAATAAGAGAGAAAGAGAAAGCACAATGCTAGAGGCCAGGAAATCATTTTTTCTTATCATATCCAAACAGAAAAACCACGCAGGATAATTTTGCAAATGTTACTAGTATGGTCACAGATGCAAAATTATTGGCTGTATATTTAAATAGAGAGAAAAATGATTCTCAAAGATTAGAAATATGCATCAGTTAAGCCAAAATCTTGCTTTGTCTGAAAACTTTCTGGTGAGCTTACCTTCTTGCTAGTACTTCGACAAGAGAGATTCTCTTTACTGGAGTAAGTATTAAAAGATTCTGCTACTAGATACAAAAGAAGATTTGAAGAAAATTGCAAAAAGGGCGCCTGGGTGGCTCACTTGGTTAAGCGTCTGCCTTCGTCTCAGGTCATGATCCTGGAGTCCCACATTGGGCTCCCTGCTCAGCGGGGAGTCTGCTTCTCCCTCTGACTCTCCCCCCTCTCATGTGCTCTCTCTCTCTCTCATTCTCTCTCTCTTTCAAATAAATAAATAAATAAATAAATCTTAAAAAAAAAAAAGAAAATTGCAAAAAAATACCATGTTCTTTGGTCAAAGACTTAACATCCTAAAATTCAATTCTCCCTATGGCAATCTGTAAACTTGACATGTTTCCAACAAAAAAGTTAACTATTTTTGTGGGGAAACTGGATAAGCTGGTTTCAATGACCATAAGCAAGCAAGAATAGTCATGAAAATCTGGGGGGAAAAGAGTAATAGGAGAGAGCGCGAGAACAACCCAGATTTTAAAATACATTATAATACTTGACTGACTGAGCCACCCAGGTGCCCCTAAAAGTACAGTTTTAAAAAACAAAGTGGTATTGGTGCACAACAGGTCAAAATGATCAATGAAACAGAATGTTCATAAAAGACCTAAATTCTTGGGGTGACTGGGTTGCTCAGTCAGTTAAGTGTCTGCCTTCAGCTCAGGTCACGATCTCGGGGTCCTGGGATGGAGCCCCATGTCTGACTCCCTGCTCAGTAGGGAGTCTTCTTCTCCCTCTCCCCCTGCTCCTCCCCTGCTGTGCTCGCCTGCTCTCTCTTCCTTTCTCGCTGTCAAAAAAATAAATAAATAAAATCTTACCAAAAAAAAAAAAAAGTCCTAAATTCTTGTGGCGCATGGGCAGCTCAGTCGGTTAAGCGTCTGCCTTAGGCTCAGGCCCTGGTCTGGGATTAAGCCCTGGATTAGGCTCCTTGCTTAGCAGGGAGTCTGCTTCTCCCTCTCCCTCTGCTCCTCTCTTGCTCGTGTTCTCTCTCTCTTTCTCTCTCAAATAAATACAATCTTTAAAAAAGAAAAAGACCTAAATTCTTTTCAAAACATTATTGACTTTTTTCAAAACTAACACTAACTTTTCAAAACATTAATGAAAAGATATATCATTCAATAAATGGCACTGAGGCAAGCAGGTAGCTGTGTGGAAAATGTTAGTAAGGCTGGTCTTGTCCCTTGTACCTGCCAACAAAAATAAATTCCCAGATGTATCAAATATGAATTAATAGGCAAATAGGTGAAAACCTGGAAGGATTTTTTTTTAAATAACCTATTTTGGAAAAAGCCTCTTGTATAAAATAAGACTTTTAAGTCATAAAAGATAAAGACCTGGATATTTGACTACATAAAAATAAAAATTTTCTGCATAAGGTAGGGAGTGAGGGGACGAAATGAAATATAACACAAACGGAAAACTGGTAAGTATGTGTGGGATTCATATCTCAGAAAAAAACCCCAGCATTATTAATATATAAAGATCTATAAGAAATCAATAAAAGAATAAAACACAATAGAAAAGTGAACAAAGGATGTGAAGATACAGTTCACAGAATAAGAAATACAAACAGCTCTTTAAACTTAAGCTAAGATGTTCATACTTACCAACAAGGTAGGTATACATTAAACTACACGAAGGCACTACTTCACCTTCCAAACTGTGAGCACACAGGCACTCTCGTATACGACTGGCATGAGTATACATTGGTATGATTAGTTATGGGAAGCAAGCAAACACGATTTCAAACAAAACCACCAGTGCTCAGAACTTCCAACCTAGCAATTCCAATTCTAGTGATTTGCCCTCCAGGCACACTCTCACCCTTGCAAAATCTCACAACTACAAGAATATTAATAGCCACATTGTTGTTGGTAGCAAAATACTAGAAATTACCTAAATACCCATTAATAGAGGACAGGTAAAATAAACTAGGTAACACCCATGTAATGGAATGCTATGCCACAGATGTTCTCTAGGGGCTGAGAGGGAAAGTCCTCCAGAATCTACTGAGTGAAAAAAAGAAACAATGAATAACATGCCCTCGTGAGGGGTGGGTGTTTATACATGGATATAGGGGGACAGTTGGCTGAGGGTACAAATGTAGGAGGAGACTTTGTGACAGAACTTTGTAGGTTTTCTCTGTTGGCCTCGCTAATTATTTTATAATGAACATTAATTCCATTTTAAATAAGGAAAATAAACAAAGTTATTTTATAAGAAACTCAATCAAATGCACTGGGACTACTCAAACGCATTTCTGAGAAGAAAGTGAAAACAAATAAAACCACCTGGTTCTTGAGGCCCCTCTCCCTGATCCTGAGCAGTCCCCACCCTCTCCCTAGGAAAACAATGTAGTGTTAAACCCTCAAAGCCTCCCAGCTCTGTTGTTAAGGTAATTGTGTTTACTCTTTTCCAAACAAAGTAATTTGAATCAGAAAAGTAAATGTGCTCAGTCTTCAAGCTCTTTGATGTCATCTTCCTCCTTGCTCTAGAGTGCGACACCGCCCACAGCAAGGCTGCCCAGAGCATGACACACAAATTCTAGAAGCATTGCCATAGCTACACCATTTTGCTCGTGATAATGATGTAAACCAAATAAAACATAAAGAAAATCAAATTTGAAATAAAATAATAGGCCCCAAAAAACACAAGCCGTGGGTTTTTTCTGCCCTTTGAACACTTGTGGAGATGATGAAACTTTGGAGTATTTTTAAATTTCAGAACAATTTTTAAGGTCACAGAGTCCCAGAGACAAGGCTATTTTCTTGCCTGAAAATAACATCTGATCCAGGCAAATGGTATGTTTGAAACATTAAGAGCCAGCATCAGTACCTCCTGAGCCTATCAGTTGCTTTCCCTCTAGATGACCCTTGTTAAACATCACACCAGCTCTAAATGTGATTTTAGGATTTTAGGTTTCTAAGACTCTGAAGCTGGTGGCTGTTTAGTCATGCAGGCTGGATCTATGCAGGCAAAGGACAGAGCCATCCATGCTGTATTAGATGAACTCTCTGAGTCATCCAAATACAATCCTCTAATCTATGAGACACCTACTGTCTCCTCCACCTCAAAGCACCCAGCTATCAGTCCACTCTGCTCACTTTGTGGAATCCTGGGTCTACTCGCCTGGAGCTCCAGTTTCTTTTAACTGTTCCCCCCTTTTTAACACTCCTTTTCCTTGTAAAAACAAATTTGAAGTTGGAAGGTATTTAAGAAGAAAAAAAATAGGAAAAGATTCAAAAGAAATCTGCTAGAATATCCTTTGCTCATTTAACATCCTAAGGTTAAGCTTCTCCAATGGCATTTAAATCCTTGGGTTTGGGTTGGTTTTTTTGCTTTTTTTTTTTTCATTACTTTATGTCCTTGCAATAAAAACATTCTTTAGACTTTAGAAATTCCTAAAAAAAACAAGAACAAAAGAGTGTTCCTTCTTTTCAGCTCTCCACCCAAATGTTACCATTATAAATCAAGGTAAGAAAGTAAATTAACTGCTGGCATTTAAATGTTTGCTGTCCCAAATATTTATTCCTTTCCACTCCCCTAAATTTGTTTCATACAAAACAATACTCATAAAAACAATAAATATTCATTCTTTATCTACTAAAATTTTTAAGATCAAAGTACTGTGCGGCCCAAATCCTCAATAGCAAAAAAGTAACATTGTTCAGCAGGAAACCTTCAACTTCCCAATAGCAACCTGACCAAGTGTGGTTCCCATTTATCTCAAAGTGCTGCAGTGCTAGGTATAGACATAATAATATGATTACAAATCCATATTTGCATATACACTTTGCAAATAGAGTTTCACTTACCCTTTAAATGCACACTGTGCATTGTTGCACACACCCCACCAAGCTGTCTTTCTGTGTTTACATGTTTGCTTCCCATTGCTAGAATGTAAACTCTAGGGAGGAAGTCAGTCTCTTCTACCTCTGTAGCCTCAGGGCCGGTTATGCCTCCTGGTGGGGTGGCTGTGGAGTCCTTCACAGAAGAGGTGACATAACCTGAGTATTTTTTTTTTTTAAGATTTTATTTATTTATTTGACAGAGAGAGAGACAGCGAGAGCAGGAACACAAGCAGGGGGAGTGGGAGAGGGAGAAGCAGGCTTTCCGTGGAGCAGGGAGCACGATGCGGGGCTCAATCCCAGGACCCTGGGATCATGACCTGAGCCGAAGGCCGATGCTTAACGACTGAGCCACCCAGGTGCCCCAACAACCTGAGTCTTGAAGAACATTCAAGCACAGGGAAACCACATGACCCAAGGTCTAGAAAACTGAACGGAGTTCGGAATACATGGAGCCTACAGTATGAACTTGGGCCATATGGCGTAAGACTGCTGTGTGGGAAAAGAAAGCCTGAGGGAGAGTCCACGATGAAGCACAGGGACTTTTTAGTCCCCCGCTGTAAGCAACAGGAGGTGTTCATTGAACATGTTTTTCTCTTGAATATCTTTATCTTTATTCATGTTAACTGGAAAAAAAAAAAACATATTTCATTGTTAAGAAAAACCAAGTAGTAAAAAAGTACGTAGAATAAAAAGCAAATGATTCCGCCCCATTCCATAGAGGTAACATTTTAGTGTTTATCATAAACTTGGACTTTTCACTGAAGTGTGTTTTAAGTAAAAAAGTGTCACGATCAGATTTTGTACCCAAAAAATCACTTTGGGTAGAAGGTAGTGTAACTGAAGGCAGGGAGACTCCCCAAGTGACCAGGACAGTTCTTTCAAAGAGGATGACAGCCAGCACCAGGGTAGAGACAAGAGCACGCAGGTCCTCATCATTTGCAAGGGTGACTGAGAGCGGGGAGTCAAGGTTAACACCTTGATTCTGGCTTCATTTAATGAGTTTGGGAACACAGGTGTGCCTGGATAGCTCCAGAAATCTGAGGAATTATACATTTTACAACAGAACACAGACTACAAGTCAAGATATAATGCCAAAGGTTAATTAAAATTAACGAAAAAGGGGCACCTGGGTGGCTCAGTCGTTAAGCATCGGCCTTCGCCTCAGGTCATGATCCCAGGGTCCTGGGATCAAGTCCTCCATCGGGCTCCCTGCTCCGCGGGAAGCCTGCTTCTCCCTCCCCGACTCCCCCTGCTTGTGTTCCCTCTCTTGCTGTCTCTCTCTGTCAAATAAATAGATAGATAAATAGATAAATAAATAAATAAATAAATAAAATCTTTTAAAAAAATGAGTTTGGGAATACAAAAGAAACGCGGGTTTGTGGGAGGAAAGTAGGAGTACAATTTTGGACCTGATGAGTTTGATGTGGCCATGGGCCAGCCAGGAAAGGATGTTCTGGATCTGGGGCTGAGGACAGAGATAAGGAGTAAATTTTGTGTGCTAGTGAGATCGCTCAGGGAGAACCAGAGGAAGGCCCATATTTAAGAAACAAGCAGAGATGCGGGCCTTTATAAGAAGATGGAAAAGGAGCAGACCTAGAAGGGGAAGAAAGGGGGCTAGAGTCCTAGTCAGTAAGGCAGGACAGAACTTCAAGAATGATCAGCAGTGTCAAAGGTGGTGGAGGGAACAAGTAATTTGACTCAAGTGAAAACAAGCTTTGTCCTCAGTGGTCATCAGCTGAACTGGAATGGGTTCAGCACATCAGTTATATATATTATTAGGAAAGGACAGGAAGGAAATATGATACAATTTCAACAGCAATTATTTCTGGGCATTGAGATTATGGGTGATTGTTACTTCCTTCTGTTCCTAGAAAAGAGCTGAGGGGTCAAGGGAAGAAGAAGAAGGTGCAATATTCCAAAAGGAAAACATTTAAAAAATTATACGGATGAAACAAAATTGTTTAACATGTTCAAACATTTACAGTCCCAAGGGGAGATACCAGCTTTATAGGGAAGATGGCATAAAATAACATTGCTGCTACATATTACTGCTTGCTGTTGTGTGAAGGTGCCACGGGAAGCATAGTGGGAAACTCTCTGCTTTCCCCAGAGACCCCACAAAGCCAGCTCAGGAACCCATAGCAGCATGTTCCCCAAACTTCAGCCATTTATGTCCATGACTTTTGTCAAATCCCTTTACCACCATCCTATTATTTGATAAACATTGTCTTTAAACCAACTCACTTTTTAAATTTAAATGGATCTATTTATTTCACAACAGTAAATGGAAAATCATTATTATAGTAAATGGAAGGTAACTGAACAATAAGTACAATGAAAACAAAACCACTGCCAGTAAGTCTGGCAAGATGATTTCAACAACCCAAAGTTTCCAGCCTGAGGCCTAAACTAGCTCTCTGGTGGAAAAGCAGCTCTGTAAGCACTAGAAGTAGTTAAAGCCCTACTGGTATTGTTTTAGTTTGGATTTCTCCAGAAGCAAACCCTCTAACAAGAATTCAGTTGCAAGCAGTTTACTTCAAAAGGTGAAGGAAACATTAGAACACAAATAAGGGAGCTGAGAAGTGAGATAAAAAGGGAAGGAAGCCAATAAATTATGTGTTATCAAGTCAGCAATCACTCTGGGCAACTGAAGCTTAATTCCTCTGGGGAAACGCTGGGAGCCAGTGCAGAAGACACCACAGAGCTCGCCCACACAAAATGAGAGAGCTGGGGTATTGATACACCAACCACTGTTGAAGGCTGATCCTGGGGACGTTAATTCCTCAGCAATCCTGGGCTACTTTGTGGGCATCACAGCAGGCCCCAGAGGAAAGAGAAGACTTCAGGCAAAGAACACCAATGCTGCAGTTTTAAGTCTGGCAGGGGCACACTGACTTGATAAAGGTAAAGAGATGTGGGTGGGGCCCCACAGATGCTGCTAGATACTAGACTGAGATTGAAAGCGAATAGAAAAGGAAATCGCTTTCTCCTTATTTGAGTCAAGGGAATTTATTCTGGGCCTGTCAGTCACTCAAAATCCTCTCCCATACAACCAAGCTAAGGCTCCAGCACCCTGGGAAACTTTCAGATACCCTGGAAGGCCCAAAGCAGCACAGGAGGGATGGAGTCTAACCCCACAACTGTCCTGAGGGGTCTGGCTGAATCTCATCCAAACCGGGCCATTGAAAAACAGATCTTTTTAAAATATTTTAAAATTTAAGTGTACTTTCCTCCCTGTCAGTTTGAAATAGCCTCATCATATCTCCTTGCCCAACAGAGTCATCAAAGATTCTTCCCTATGGAAGAAAGCCATTAGAATGAAATTGACCACCTAGACAAATGAGAATATGAATGGTCATTTTAAAAAGGAATTTTTACTCTTATAAAAGAATCATCAAATTCCTCCAGGTAATAGCTTCCCTGATTCACTTAAAATATGGTTTATTTACAAATATCAAACTATCCACCCACCCATAGCTCACAACAATTATAATGGATAAGTATAGAGGTACAGAGTACTACCAAACTGTGTGTGGGTATTTCTTTTAGATATTCTTTCATTCAACAAATGTTTATTGGACTATATATGAGAAACTATTCTAGGTGCATTGAAGGAAACACAAAATTCCCTTCCCTTCAGGGACCTATATTCTCATGGGGAAGACAGCGAGACATAAATAATAGGTATGGGATGTCAGCTGGCAAGAAGTGCTACGACTAAAGCAGGAGAGTACCAATGGCTGCGGAGGGGCTATCATTTTAAAGGGGGTGATCAGAGAAGACCTTCCTGACAAGGGATATTTGGAAAGACCAAGAGAAGACGAGAGAGTAAGCCATGCAAAGAACTACAGAAAGATTACTACAGCGAGAGGAAATAGCCTGTGTAAAGATCCTGGGGCAGAGGCATGCCTGAGATCTGAGAAACAGCAAGGAAAATGGTGAGGCTGATGTAGAGCAAGCAAGAGGAAAAGCAAGAGTGAGACCAGAAAGTCAAGGGTGAGTGCAGACTGTACAGAATCCTGTAGGCCATTGTGCAATGGTAAACTATTGGAGCATTCTGAGCAGAAGAAACACCTGAACTGACTTGGGCTTACGGGGATCACTCTGGCAGTTTTGCAGACAATAGGCAGTTGCAGCAAAGGCACAAGTAGGGAGACCAGTTAGGAGGCTATTGTCAAAATCCAGCTGGCAGCAACTTGAAGAGGGCTGGTGAGTAGTTGGCTTGGTTATAGTTTGCAGGTAAAGGATTTGTAGATAGATTAGATGTGGGGAGTAAGAAAAAGAGAAGGGTTTTTAGCCTGAGTGGCAGAAGAACAGACCTCCCATTTCCTGAGATAGAGAACACTACAGAGGGACAGACTTGGGGAAGATCAGAAGTTGGATTTCAACACGTTAAGTTTCAGATAACTACTAGACATCCAAATGGAAAGGTCTGTAAGCAGTTGGATATGCAAGTCTGTGTGTCAGGGGCTCAGTCTAGGGTAGAGCTATAACTGTGGGAGTTGTTAGCACCTATGGTGTATTTAAGGGCATGAGGCTGGATGAGGTCATCAAGGGAACAAACAGAAGGGCTAAGAGGCTGAGCCATAGGAGCACTCCGCCAACGAGAAGTCAGGGTGAAGACGGGGAACAAGAAAAGGTGACTGAGGGGTGGCCCAGGAGACCGGGAAAGAACCAGAAGTTGATGATATCCTGGAAGCAAGGGAAGAGAGTGTTCGAAGAAAGAGTAATGAACTGTGACAAATGCTGATGATGAGTCAAATAAAGAGACTGAGAACTGACCACCAGATTTAGCAGTTTGGGTGGAGAGCTAGGACCAAAAGCCGGTCCGGAAAGTGTTCAAGAAAAAATAAGAGAAGAGGAGTGTATTTATATCTGTTACCTTCTTTGTGTTGGTGATTTTAGCATTGTTTGGAACCTGATTATCTGATTTTTTAAAGATTTTATTTATTGGCGAACAAGTGAGCCCGAGTGGGGGGAGGGGCAGAGGCAGAGGGAGAAGCAGGCTCCCCGCGGAGCAGGGAGCCAGATGCGGGGCTCCATCCCAGGACCCTGGCATCACGACCTGAGCCCAAGGCAGATGCCTAACGACTGAGCCCCCCAGGGACCCCTCTGATTTTTATCCCTGACAAAATAACATATAATTGAATATTAGTTCTGTTTAATTGATTAACTGATTAATTCAGGTTTAAAAAAAAAGGTTCTTTTTTTCTTTTGCCTCAGATATGTAATCATTGGTTTAATTTCTGCTTTACTTTTTACCTGAACAAAAAATTGGCTACAAACTATAATACGTGTAGAATATATGATGAATATTCTGCATATGTTGTCTCTGTAGTGACTTGTAATACATAAGTCAGTAAGCTTCTCCTTCTCTCTTTTCCCTCTGGTGAGGCACCAATGATCTGGAAGGTAGGAAAAAGGAGATAGTAGAAGAAAAAGAGGAGCAAGCAATACTTCTGATTTATCTCCAACCTGACAATGGAATTGGTTCCACTGAAATCCCGTATGGACATAATGAACACAAAGTCACATTCATCAGTGTTCTCAGTGAGGCTGAGAACAACATAATTATTGACTCATGTACAATGTGAATTGAGTTACCAAAATAATAAGAGAAGTT